TGTCAATATTAGATAATTTTAAAATATTTTTCCAGCACAGAAGAGTAGAACCTGCAAAATTTATATTGTAAAACAATGATTTCTCTCTAGCTGGCAGCAAATAAGAAGCAAATGTATTAAAAATAAATGGGGAAGAGGAAGGAGTTAAATAGAAAAGAACATCATATCACTACCCAAACATAACTGTTTTAACAATACACAAGGAATCTTTTTAATCTTCAAGTCAATAAAGGTTAACACAATAAAATAAACTTCTGAGTACCTTTCTTTTCTAGAACTTAGTCTCTTCTGCTGACGATATTTTAGAGATGTTATCAGTTCTGTGCAGACCCAGCTGCTGGGAAAATTTACTTAAACGTACCAAAAGGAGAAAATAACTTTATGGAAATACTTAAGTATGGCTTCTGGGTGGTTTCTCATTGTACCTAGACCAAAACCAATTTAAAGACAGCTGCTAGCTGATGATTTCTAGACCTGATAAGCAGGCAATCTCTCACGTATCTGAACCAAAGGACAGAAGATATTTATTATGTCATTTACAGAAGGATGGGAACAGGCTGATTAAGACGCTCAGTACTAGCTGTTCCATTCCCAAACATTCACCTTTGAAGAACTGTTTTCATTAATCAGGGTACAATCTCTACTTGGACAATATATCCTTTGCAATTCTACCATTACAAAATCTTCAAAGGCTGAGCAACTGGAACTGAGCAGCCTACTGACATCAGCATTTCTTCTAAGAGTCCACAGGCTAGAACCTATCACTTTTAATTTTGTCATGGCTCAGTACAATAATGCGAATCTCCATGGACGTGTCATGAAGCCATGTCCTCTGCAAAAATAAAAGCATTCAAAAGATTTACTAACATTACTGTTTCTTACACTGGTATTGAGAAAAGCTAGTTCTGCAGTTGACCTAAATGTTTAGTCTACCAGAACTCCAGAGTAACAAACAAGAGATCTGATATAAAAATATATAAAGAGATCAAAAAAGCATTTCTTCAAGTGGATTTTTGAATGCGTCCACCACTAGCTTACATGCAGTCTCATGTGACCAAAAGCTATATTAACCTGCTGTTCAAACCCACACTCAGGGCATGAATTTTGACATTGCTCACACTACCATAATGTAGTTTTGGCTCACATTTTCTACGGGCAGTATGGGCAGAAGTAGATTATGCCACGTGGCATTATGAACTAGAGCCCTTACGCCATCTCTGTGTGATGGTGGAGACTGATCAACAGATTACTTCTGAATACTTAAGAAAACCCATCAGATTCTTTAAAAAAAAGACCAAAAAAAAATCAGAACAATTATTCTAAAAACAAGTGCCTGTAGTACCAGTACTTGTAGGGTCAGATTCCTACTACGGTACTGATTTACTGAAGATATTTGGCAAGAAAACCTGAACCTCAAAGTAGTTCAGGTTCATTCAGCATGTCCAGTGCCTGTGAACAAGAAGGTTTGAGATAACTGATTACTGGTTTTACAGTTTTGAAATTATTTCAGAAAGAAGGATCTCTCAAAAGTCTCCAATCCAAGGTGAAAACGTGGGTGGGGATAGAAAGCAACAATTCCTTGTTTTATAAATATTTCTCTTTTCTTTTTAGCAGGACTTTAAAACTTAAAAATTACTTGGAACAATAAAAATCTTTTCAAAGCTAAATACTAGTCTCAAGCCAATATGTAAAAATATAAAAACAAAAACTTCAGGCTCCTTATCTGTAAAGCATTAATTTAAAACGTCCATCACTTTTAGTTATTATATCCAGTCAGTCTGCAAATTCGTCAAATCCAAATGTTGATGTCATCCTGCAGTCATGTTCAGGCACAATATTTCTCTAAAATAATATGGTATAGTGGCATCTCAGAAAGCAGTTATTTTACATAGGCAGTATTGGAAAACCATGAGTAAAGTAATCAACCAGGTTTAAATGGGTTTAGTTTCATTTGGTGCATGGCTGGCTTACACGTATAATTTCCATTAATTATACTGTAAGTCCTCTGGCGCAGCAAGCTGAGCAAATTCACCCTGAAGACAGTCAGCAGAAGAGAGAACTGCTGTACCATGAAACATAAAATAGTCAGAGGCACCGTAGTACTCATTAATTGTGAAATACAGAAGGCAAAAAAGGAGAAGTTGCTGTAGAACTCATTCAAGTGCACTTCAAAATACCAATAATATATATAAAGTGAAAACCAACAAGACTGGCCAAATTACCTAAGTTATGTATTTAAAAAAAGAGGTGTGTTACTACAATACACATTGACTAAACGATCAGTGAAGGTTCAGCTAGCCCCCAAGCTGCTATTCACCACATCTTCCTCCCTACTGCTGACCTTACTCAATTCCTTTTTCTGTATTCAGACATAGAATTCAATCTCAATCAACTGCCATCTGCTGCTGCAGATAAAACTTTGTGATGTCCTTAAATGTGAATTCCTTAGCTTGGATATTTTTTGCTTTTTAGCTGCACTTTATTTACCAAAACCATAAAGTAGCCACAACCATGATTTGTACGGACCAGTGAGGACTCTACTGCCCTCCAGTAAAGAGGGCATATCTTGGCAAAGTGTAAGTTATGTATTTAAAAAAAGAGGTGTGTTACTACAATACACATTGACTAAACGATCAGTGAAGGTTCAGCTAGCCCCCAAGCTGCTATTCACCACATCTTCCTCCCTACTGCTGACCTTACTCAATTCCTTTTTCTGTATTCAGACATAGAATTCAATCTCAATCAACTGCCATCTGCTGCTGCAGATAAAACTTTGTGATGTCCTTAAATGTGAATTCCTTAGCTTGGATATTTTTTTGCTTTTTAGCTGCACTTTATTTACCAAAACCATAAAGTAGCCACAACCATGATTTGTACGGACCAGTGAGGACTCTACTGCCCTCCAGTAAAGGGGGCGTATCTCGGCAAAGTGGGACACAACAGTCTCCGCAGAGCAGATACCCCACTGTACTCCTTGAAGGTGTTCTGCCTCCAAGGTAACATTGAACAAATTTGCATCTTCTTATTGGGTTCAGGCACAATACTGCCAACACTGCCAGCCCAGGGACTGAAAGCCACACACGCTTAACCACTTTCTTACATCTCTCCAACATTTTGCCGAGATTTCTGGACCAGTGGAAGCTCTGCCACCTTTGCATTCCCTCCAAAACTGTCTCTGCTCTTCCATTTTAAAACTTCTCCAGCATGCACAATTCCACATTTTTATCCTCAGCTGTGTAATAGTCTTTACAATATTGTCTTTCCATATTTATTTTTTACTGTATCCCTCTCTGATACCTCCATCAAATTTGTTCTCCTGTTCTGAATGGCTCTGCCCTCCTCCTCTGCCCTCCTCCTCACATTCCCCACAAGGTTCTGTAGCACAGAACCAGCCAAAATATACAGTCCGGATTGGCATCTGAGAGATATCTAAATTTGCTTAGAAGTGAAAAGTAATTTTTTACATTCTTTAGAACCTTCAGTGTGAGTATTAGCTGCCCTAGACAAAACATGTTCTCATATTGTTACTCTCTGCTTCCTTTGTATTTCTTTAAACAGTTTTCCAATTCTTCTTTTTGAGTTTCAACTGAGATAATATTAAAAGCTGTTCACTAACAGACTTCTGTCTTTATAATGTGCCCTCATATCACTATTTATTTTTTACTGTATCCCTCTCTGATACCTCCATCAAATTTGTTCTCCTGTTCTGAATGGCTCTGCCCTCCTCCTCTGCCCTCCTCCTCACATTCCCCACAAGGTTCTGTAGCACAGAACCAGCCAAAATATACAGTCCGGATTGGCATCTGAGAGATATCTAAATTTGCTTAGAAGTGAAAAGTAATTTTTTACATTCTTTAGAACCTTCAGTGTGAGTATTAGCTGCCCTAGACAAAACATGTTCTCATATTGTTACTCTCTGCTTCCTTTGTATTTCTTTAAACAGTTTTCCAATTCTTCTTTTTGAGTTTCAACTGAGATAATATTAAAAGCTGTTCACTAACAGACTTCTGTCTTTATAATGTGCCCTCATATCACCAAGCATAATGGGACACCTGATTGAACCCCGTAGGTAATACAACACCGGTAGCACCAGCACCAAATTCAACCATAAAAGCATGTTGCGACTTTAGATAATCTTATTGACGACAAAAAGTAAAACAAAACAAAAATTAAAATAATAAAATAAAATTGCAAATTCAAAATATTTAATAAAGTTAATAGAAAAAATAAATCCACAGAACAAGCTGTTATGGAAAAATTTATAAATGTGTAACTGAAGAGAGTCACTGTATCATCAGAACAATACAACCAAACATTTTCTAATGAAGCACAGATGTAAAGAAAAATGAACTGGCACAACCAATCTCTCTGAACTTTCACCCCTGTTTTCCCTTTTTTCTCTGTTAAAATAAACATGATATTTAGAAATTAGAAGAACCTTTCTGTTTCCACAACTAAAACATGTTCCGTCTAATTGTCTGAATGCGTCTACAAGGTGATAATATTGTTATTACTAAAAATATCAGGTACATATGTGTCAGGAAAAAGCGCTAATACGTGCATACATGGTATTTGTTTAGAATTCACTAAATACTAGATACATCTTACATGAAATCTAGAAGTACATTTATTAGAAACCCACCAGCCCTGTGCACTGTGGGAGCCCATGCAAGGCGTGAAAACACTGCTGGGGAAACTGAGAGCTTTGGTTAGAAAAGCCAGCTTTTATACAGCAGAGCAAAATCACTGTGAAACCTGCTTTCACCCGTAAGGGAAATCGTATATTCTAATGCATTACTTACTGTTGTTACTCCAATCTTCCCAGACACTATCTGGTCGTGTTCAGTATGACCGTCCTGCAGACACTTACTTCAACATGCAGGGTAAATGCAGCTAATAAGCATAATTAGCTCAGACAGTGTATTTAATTTAGTTTTGCGCTAAAGACTAATTGCCTACTCAGCGAAGGGGAAGTGTAACATTGTTTTTAAGATGCTTACCCGAGGGCCCTGATCACCTTGATCTCCCTGCAAAGTGGAAAGATGAGATGATAGGTTTAACACAGCATCTGTGTGCTACCCAGCTCTCGTACACAGTCTGACATTACACTGCGTCAATACAAACGGGCTCTTTTAGTTCATGCTGGGAGGGCTCGCCAGTCACCTTGCAAGTGTCACCATCAACTCACCTTCTCGCCTTTGGGACCAGGAGGGCCCTGAAAGAAACAGAAGCAAAGATGAAAATTACTGACGCTGCTGAAGCCCCCGGGACGCAGCAAGAAAAGAGGTCTGTGCCAACCTGCTGTTTCTTCCTAACAAGGTATTTCCTTATCGTTTTTCACTCCAAAAGCCAGGGCTATTCCAGAGGCGGCTTCTTCACTGCAGCAATAATAGGCACTGCGTGGTTATTTCTGAATACTTTGCTCACCCCATGTGTTGAATCCAACCACTCAGACAAGCAAAACTATGCCTGAAATGGCAACATTTCTATTGATTTCAGCAAGGGACAATAGTTTATCTCCTATCAGATAATAAATGTTTTCTAAGACCGTAAAAACTTCTTTGCAAGTGCAGCTAATAAATTCAGAGACACATAAATCTGCCGTGTATTTTGGCACCCTCCTTGGCTTAGATTGCCAAAGAAAAATGGATCAGGGAATCTGAAAGTTGTGTTTTCATTCCTATCTTTGGCAATGCTGAAGCTGATGTTTAGTCTCAAGCACACTGTTTTAGGCAGAATGGGCTCCTTTGAATACCATGATTTTGCAGAAGTAATATTTACTGTTACTTACCACCAGACCAACAGTAAGGTGACAGAATCACAAAACAGCGAGGTCCTTTCCTATTCCCTTTTTATTGAGCACCTTCCAGAAAGCTACCAGCAGGTTTCTAAAACACTAGTTTTCGGGTTAGTATCGTGTGAATAAAAATGTCTGCAGAGAACTGGCTGCTTACACAGTGCAGACCCTACCTCGAGCTTTCTGAAAGGTACACAGGTGTTTCATTACAAAGAAGGACCTGAGGTACATAGGAAAGCAGCTGGAAAATGAGGAGCCATCCAAGCTAGCAGGGTCCACTGTTACAACAGAAAGAGAACGTGTGCGTGTGTGTATATATGCGCACGCAGTACAAGAAAAAGTTGCCACCAGCCACATAATTAGAAATAACCCAGTGCACAATAGCTGAGCTGAGCACGTCTGAACCATTTCAGAATTTACACTAGTAAAAATTCATGTGGTTCACATAAATTCACATGGAAGGAAGGTCAGCCTGCTGTGTATTAAAAGATGCGATCAACCACATGCGAGTCTTCCAGAATCTCTATTGTAGCCAATTTTCTGCTTATTTTTAAGGGCTTCTGATGCATGCCAGAGAAGACCATCTGCTGCTAAATCTTTCAAGGAGTTAAAGCATATGCCTCTCCTTCCATAGCCTGCCATCTCTTCTGTCTCTTGCAGAGGACATAGAAACAGGTCCGCTACCTGACATCTCTGTATCTCCTTTAGAAAGGACAAGGGAAGGGAACCTGAGGGAAAACCATCTACTCAATTAACTATGACCCTCTTCTCCACTTTCTGTTGCCCTGAAAGAACTAGTCCTCTTTAAAAACAAATTAAACAAAATGACTTAATAAATGGGTAAGACCTTGCTGTACTTTTAAGATTTCTCCATCTTTTTTTTTATTTTTCAAATATTTTATCCCCTGCTGGTTTTTTTCCAATGCACTGGAAATTGCATGCAGCAACATCTACTGTTAGCTACAGACTCCACACGTGCTTCCTTGGATGTGCCATTAGAGCAGATCAGATTTTCAGCAGGTCCATTTTAAAACACGCATACATGCCCTTGAGCTTGTGAATTCCCAAACTCCTACCATCAGTAACACAGTAATTGCGGAACAGGAGGAACTAAAATCACTCAATTCTGGCTGTTACTGCCTCTTTCAGAGTGAACAACGAGCTCCAGCAAAGGGCTGTGCTCGTGTGTTCCGTCTCCTTGAATTATCAAACCATTACAGGCTCTGAATATCTTACTGCCTGCAAACTGCAAATAATATGACCTCTATCTGCTACAGTCAGAATCCTATTTCTTGGGTCTTAGGCGTGAAATTATAAATACCACGACATGACCAAGACTGCAGACAGATGTTGGCTTTTGGATCATGCCGCGATTGTGGGAGCTGCTCCTGCCTTCATCCAGATGCTCAACGCTGTTCTTCTGCCCAGGGGTAGCCCTACTTCTGAGGGGCTTTGGCTCACAACTGTTCCCCGGCGTGCCCGCCATGGCTCTGCCAGTTGGTACAAACTAAGAGAGCAGAGACCCCCAGCAGCTCCCTGAGCAGAAATACGGCAGAGCCTGCTCACGTGAGAGCTTCAGCCAGCAGATCTGGGGGGCTACTGGGCCATCAACTGCTGGCAAGATGCTCAGCTGTCTCCACCCGCAGAAGTGGCCTCTCCCCCTGCGTATTCTCCTCTCTTGAGAATTCTCTGAAAGTACAATCCATACCCCTGTCTCCACCCGCAGAAGTGGCCTCTCCCCTGCGTATTCTCCTCTGTTGAGAGTTCCCTGAAAGCACAATCCATACCTAACCATATTTTTTAATAAGACTGAATCACAGAGCTCAATTAAATTTTGTTCTTTTCCTGTGCAGCTTTGTCTGAAAATTACCTGTCCGCATCAGCAGGTCCAGAGAGGTAATTCTTCCACTTTACTCTGCTCTGGTGAGACCTCACCTGGAGTACTGTGTGCAGGTCTGGAGCCCTCAATATAAGAAGGACATGGACCTGATGGAGAGGGTCCAGAGGAGGGCCACAAGGATGATCAGGGGGATGGAGCACCTCTGCTACGAGGACAGGCTGAGGGAGCTGGGGTTGTTCAGCCTGGAGAAGAGGAGGCTCCGGGGAGACCTGATAGCAGCCTTCCAGTACCTGAAGGGGCCTACAGGAAGGCTGGGGAGAGCCTGTTTACAAAGGCCTGCAGTGACAGGACGAGGGGCAATGGCTTCAAGCTGGAGGGGAACAGATTTAGACTGGAGATTAGGAGAGGGTTCTTCACTGTGAGGGTGGTGGAGCACTGGAACAGGTTGCCCAGGGACGTGGTTGAGGCCCCTTCCCTGGAGATATTCAAGGAGAGGCTCGACGAGGCCCTGGGCAACCTGGTCTAGTTGGGGGTGTCCCTGCTGACTGCGGGGAGGTCGGACTAGATGACCTTTGGAGGTCCCCTCCGGCCTGGGCAATTCTATGATTCTATGATCATATTCAGAAATCCATGGGGTTTTTTTTTCATTGCTCTCCGTTGGGCAAAGCCAGCAATTATGACTGCTTGGTGACTGGTCTCCGTGAGTGCCACACACCGTTGTGTCTATTAAGTCATCCTTCCAGCATACGGATTTTTTCATACAAAGTCTTCACCAATACCTGACAACTTTATTGAACCAGAAGTTAAAAACAGCTTTTCAAAAGGCCAGAAGAGCATTTCTGGCGTGAACGTTCTCACAAGTCCCTGCACTTGTATTTGCGATGCTTTTGCTTTCTACCAAGACTCTTGAAAAACAAACAAACAATTGCAAACAAAAAATAGCTCTTTTGGATGCTAGTGAAGAGAATCAGTGGGGTTTCATCAAAACAAAATTAATGCAATTCTTTCATGGCTTGTTCACCCATCTCTGGCTCTTCCCCCATTGTTTCAATTGTTCTCCATTGTTTTTGCAACTTTAAAAAGAAAATTCCTATCCTCAGCCTTTGACATCTTCTTTCCATTTGTGCTGAGAAATTCTCCCAAGGTTTTTACTGCAGAATTTATTAGTGTGTACACGGAGTGGAGGCAGGGAAGGAGAAAAACTCCGAGGGAAAGCTGGCTTTGTGGGGGTGGGGTGTGATTAGGAGACAGATTTGTTTAAAGGAGGGCAAGGTTTCTTCTGTTTAAGGGTATAGACACAAAGAACAGAGCGAGTAAAATAACACGAGCTTTGTAGGCCACAGCATAGACATCCTGCTTTTTTCCCAGGGAGACTTCTGTGCTTTCGTTTATGAGATGGCAGAGATCAAGCCGCTAGCTGCTGCACAAATGTGAAAGCATTTTGTGTAAGTTATATGAAACGTCTGAGGTCAGAGCATTTCTGAAATAACTTTACAGTGTTTTCACTGGAAACAGAGGCTCTTTTCTCAAAGTGTAATTATCTACTCCAGACAACTATACATTTCCAAGGAGAGTTTATAGCCTGTTTCACATAAGCAAGGCCTTGTAAATCACAAACACATGCAAAATCTGCATTCATAATTAGGCGACAAATACTACTGTTTTTAAAACAAGGTCTTCTGAAGCAGACTGAGAGGCCTCCAGGCACCTGCTAGCCGAGAACAAAGCTGAAATCAAGGTCAAATCCATTCAACAGTCATATTTGGGATTACTGACAGGTGACCGTAGGTGTGGGGTTTTTTGGCTGAGTACGATCACCATGATTTTTCACACAGCTGGCATTTTATACATCTTTCCCTGAAAGATGCTCGTTTTGTATTCCACCCTTGCAGCCATTGCCACCTTTAGAGTTTTGCAGCATTTACATTCAGAGGACCACTTGAAAAGCCAGCACTTCATTTATATTGGTTTGAAAACGTCCAAAATTATCTGAATTCCCTTATTGATACATTGTCTCCATATTCCTATTGTTATAGATCTGCCTTTAATTGTAATACAGGCAGTTCTACCATGACTTCATCGAAAGGCTCCAAGCATCGAGGGGAAAGTAGAACTGAAAATCATAAGGGATTGTCAGAAAGGGATTCAAAGAAACAGCAAAGTTTCTAGGTTCTGCAGAAAGCTCTAAAGTCAGGGCAGAGGAATCCAGATTTTTAATGACTTTTAGATAACCCACGTGGTGCCACTGCACAAAGGACCTGCCAGCGCTCAGCACAAGCTGGTAACAACCAACCAAGCAGAATCAGTGGGACTGTGACAGTTACAGGTCCCAGTGGAATCATTCACCTGAGATGACAAACTCAGCAGCTCCCATCAGGCAGAACTGCCAGAGATGACATGGGTAATGACTACCTTTTAGACACAGGCACTGCTCTCCAAGAGTTCAACCACAACAGCCACAGGCTAAGGCAACCTGGCAGCGAGAGGACTGAATGTTGCTTGCAGGATTCAGCCCTTCTTTCCATCTGGGACAAAGCAGCATACAATGAGTTCATCCCTACCAGCAGCTACAGCATCC